ATCTATACTAAGTATTGTTAAATAAAAGCATAATTTTCTAGATAAATAAATTTACATTTTATCAAAAAAAAAAAAATTGCATAATGTTTATTAGCCACCACCTATTACGTCATGGAGGCAGCTTAAGAACACACATCTAAAAAGCTAATGATTCAAGATTTTACTTTAGCAACGAGACCTAAGCATGCTTATAATAACATGGATGTCATGTAAACTAGGCAACAAGTGGGGACATAATTACTGATTTGAGAAAATCTCAACCCTAATCATCAAATTGAATTAACATAACATACATATTATGCGGCAAACCCTCTTTCCCTAATTTTCTCAATCAACACCCGTGTTGAGGCAAACAGCATTAAAGGATTTCACGGGGAAGTGTTGGCCTGTGGGCTCCCTTGCTTAATTAGACATGCAGCCAAACAGAGGCAAAGCAAAGAATGTTTAAGCTGAGTAGTCAAACTGGAAGTAAGAAAGAAGGAAAGCTTTTGGGCTAAACAAGGAAGATTATGCAGCTGGGTATGGGTCCTATGGGACAAGCAAAATCTCTCCATGTGCTGCACCTACCAAATCTCGTGAATGGGTCCTCCCCACTCCCACCATTTTAATTTCCCATTTCTATTTAGCAGATCAAACCTTCTAGCATTTTTGGTTTTTGCTATTTACCTTGTGTTGGGATTGAGCACAACATCCAATTTGGGCCATACACAACAGGCCCAGTTGTACACTCATGAGCCCAAAAGGAGGAAACATACCCACATGGGCAGTGACACGTGGGCCAATGGGATGCATACACGTGTGGACTTATGTCACTGTATGGGGTTATAAATACCCCAAACTATCTCCATGTAAGGTATTAACTACTACATTTCTCTCTCTGCAATTACTGTTTGAAAACATCTCTCTCTAGAATATTGAGTATTGCTAACTTAAGCGTTAGAGTGTTTTCCCCGAGGAAACATCCTCGGGATTTTTAGGTGTTGAAGCTGCCGAAGGTATCTATAGTACTGGATCATGAAGCTATCCAAACATTTGGCGCCATCTGTGGAAAATTGAACAAAAAGTTCTATGGTTTAATTGGCTTGAGCTAACAATGGAACGCACCTTTACAGGAAACCGCCCCTCGAGAGGCAACATAGACGAACAGGACAATATTCAACTCTTAGAAAGTGACCTCAGTGATTTCCAAACAATGTCGAGAAACCTTTTCGTTGGCGGAGCAGAGCAAGAACAATCAAACACTTCAGATGATGAAAGAACATCTACTGGGTATGCAACCCAACTTGAAGAACAGTTTCACATCCCGGCAGAAGCCAGACGAAGGCATTCTAGGCATAATACTTCACGACTTGAGAGACCCATGGAATCTTCTCGGACAACCGAGCTGGAAGAAAGAACCAGAGTTTAGAAATGGCCATGGGAAAAATCCTCTCTCATTTGATCCCTGATAACCCCTTAATTCCCTTACTGAATAGGGGTGAGCAGCCAGCAGCAATAGTTGCGACTCGCAATTCCCTAGCTTTGAGCAATGTGGTGGTCCCAACCAGACCAATAGCAAGTGGGAAGTTAAATCCAGAACCTAACTCATCTAGGCACAATGAAGAATTGTTAAAGAAGAATGCTAATCTCAAAAGACAACTAAAAGATGTATAGAAGTTTATTGATGAGCTAAAAAGCCCCAGGTCGCACTAACAAGCTCTTGATTTGGATAATGCCCCTCTCAACTTGTCTATTACGGCAGAACCATATCAAGAGGGATTTAAGATTCCTCGTTTAGAGACATATGATGGCTCGGGAGACCTGGACAAATATTTACATACTTATCAGGCTATCATGAGAATCCAGAACGCCACTGATGCTATGATGTGCAAAGTTTTTCCTGTGACATTGAAATCAACTGCTAGAAGATGGTACCACAAGCTCCCTAGACATTCCGTAGCTTCCTATTCTGAACTTGCCACTCTGTTCTCAAACAAGTTTGCAAGTCAAAGGGAAATTAAACGCACCGCTAATGAGCTGATGCAAGTTCATCAGAAGAAGGGAGAATCTTTAAGGGACTATATGCAATGGTTCAACAAGTCCACTTTAAACATTGATAATGTCCCTGACACCATCTGCCTGTTTACTTTGTTGCATGGCCTCAAACCCGACCAGTTCCTAGACAACCTGCTAGAGAATCCGTCGAAGTCATGGAACGAAGTAAATGATAGGTCAGCGAGCTTCATATTGTCAAAAAACTTCCAGTCACCTAAGCGAGAGCCGATGACAGATAGAGTAAAGATCACAAACAGCTAGAAGGAAGGGAAGAAAAGAAAAAGCAAAAAGTTGGCGAGCAAAGAGGAAAGCCACCTTCCTTCCCAAAATCTGCCAATTACATTCCACTGAACTCATCAAGGTCTCAAATATTGGCACAGATACAACACTGGGTCAAGAGACCACCTCCCCAAATGCATGATTTCCCACGAGCTAATAGAAGTAAATATTGTGACTATCACCATGGGTACAGCCACAACATAGAAGATTGTCAAAGCCTGAAGGACGAGCTAGAATTCTTAGCTCGCAATGGAAAATTGGAGGGATATGTACAGAAACCTTACGCCCAACAAACCAATCAAACCCATTTTGTGCAAAAATATGCCCAATCTTAAGGCTAAGGATATCAGCTCGGCAACAATCAAAATCCTTATCAGGGGAGTCCATACTCATCTGAAGCTGGCAGAACCTACAAAGGACGCCCATTCAATAGACGAGGACAGGGACAGAAAACCTCTATGCAGAATCAAAAAGACCATAGAGTGGTCGGTTACAATGGGATACCCCCACCTTCTGGCACAATCAACATGATTTTTGGTGGCATGCATTCAGGAGGCCAAAGTGCCTAAGGTCGTAAGACTTATGCTCGCCAAGTGATGACAGTAAACAAGAATAGGCCCCTGAAATGACCTTTTGAAGAAGCAGAGTGGGAAAATACACCAATCACATTCAGTCCGATTGATTATAAGCGGCTAGAGGGAGAACCAGACGTTATGATGCCCCATGTGGACCCATTCATGGCAACAATTCACGTTGGCAATCACAATGCGAATAAAGTCTTCATAGATAAGGGCAGTTCTCCGGACATCCTCTATTGGAGCTGTTTCCAAAAAATGCAACTAAACCCAAATTCATTGAGAAAATATGAAGGGCCAATCTATGAATTTGACAATCAACCCATCCCTGTTAAGGGAGTAATTACACTTCCCATCTACGTGGGCGTTGAACCACGATTTAGAATGGCGTCAGTAGACTTTCTAGTGGTTAACATGGAGTCAACTTTCAATGCCAGAATTGGAAGAGCTACACTTTGCGAATTGAAAGCTGTCATCTCTCAACCACACCTCTATATGAAGTTCCCAACTTCTCAGGGTGTAGAAGTGCTCAATGGGAACCAGAAAATGGCAAGAACCTAATACCAAGATACGTTTAAGAAGGTCGAACTCATAGCAACACCCAAGACCTTCGGTTTAGACATTTCCAGACCAAGCCAGCAAGGTCATCAGACGATGAGCATATCTGATATAGACCATCGACCTAAGAATCTTGAGCAGAAGGCCGAGCCAGTGGAGACCGTCCCTTTAAATCCTAATGAACTGGAAAAAACAATGAAAATAAGAACCAAACTCACAATGGAAGAAAGAACCGAGCTCCTAGAATTTTTTAAAGCTAACCAAGATGTATTTGCATGGACAACAAATGAAATGCCTGGCATCCCAACATAATTTGCAGTCCATAAGCTCAGTACAAATCCCACCAAGAAGCCAATGGTTCAAAAGCATCACCTTGTGGGCCTTGAGAAGCAAGCTGCTATAGATGAAGAAATATAGAAACTGTTATAGGCAGGCTTCATTAGGAGAGTGGAATATTCTGAGTGGGTATCCAATCCTATGCTCGTCAAACAATGGTAAGTGGAGAATGTGCATTGACTTCACCAATTTGAATGAAGCGTGTCCCAAAGATCCACACCCTTTGCCTAATGTGGAAAAGTTAGTAGAACGAGCAACGGGACATGAATGCATGAGCTTCCTTGATGCTAGCTCAGGATATCATTAGGTTTAACTGTGGTTAGACGACCAGCAAAAAACAGCATCTTATGTAGGGGATACAATTTATTGTTATGTCATGATGCCGTTTGGTTTGAAGAATGTTGG